ACGGAGGTGCACAGTGTATTCATGCCCTGGAGCTTTCTGCAGGCAGATGCTTGTAGGCTCTGGCTTTCTGGAGACTAATGGTTGTAGATGCAGGGAACAAATTAGTCTCTTGAGTGAAACGCTGTATTGTCCTGAAACTTACAGTATCCAAATAAATGGTGCAGCTCCCCTCCCCCCATGTGAAAGAAAGCATTCTCAAATGGATGGCTATACTGGCTGGCAAGAATGCTCTAAAGCGAGGATTGTCTTCATGTGTACCAGATTGTCATCTGAGAGATGGACAAAGGATGCATCTTGACGTACTGCCGTGCAGTTTTGCCCTAGGTTACAGCCACTCAAAGAGACTTAGAATCATAAGGGCCGTTTGCACGCACTGACGGGAGCCGCCCGCCTGTGTCTAGACAGCCAGGAGCCTTCCGGCCTCTGTCATCCTCTGGCTGGCGGGACTATGGCTTTGTGTCCTTTGAAAGTTTAAAATGAACCGTTTGTGTGGCTTGCCACTTTGTCTTGGTTGTCAGAGATGGGTGAGAGTTCAGGCTGGCAGATCATGGAACTCTATGCCCACCACAGGCCTTGTCAACCCTGAGACTCCCTGGCCACTCCATGTCCTAGTAGAACTTGTAGGACCGTAAGCAGAGATTGTACAGCATATACCCTCCTAGCAGATGCAGAGCTTTATGGTTTAACTTCTAGGTCTGTAGACTGAAACAGTGATTACCACTCTGGGTGAACTTGAGAAGGAAGACAAAGACGTGTTTCAATCACGTAATGCCCAGGCATCATCAGTTGGGGTTCATTGATGACTCTGATTAAATCCCCATCAAATGAGCATGGCCTTAAAAAGTGGAAACAATTTAGGGGAACAACTGTTGTTGACATGGGCCCAAAAAAGCTGCTAGGACTTGTTGAAAACTGGATCTTTTCAAGAGAACCCCACAAGCAGGCATACATTTGGTCATGAGATGGAAGGAGCCACATCATGTCTTCCTCCAGGCTCTGTGTGTAGCTGTCAAGAAGGAGATCAGTTTGTTATAGGTCTTGCTTCACTGTATCACTGCCTCACTCTGCCCTGCTTCTGTGTCTGTGGGCCAGAAAGTGGTCACTGTATGCATTTCACATTTTAGATCTCCAGGCCTGGTAATGCTCTCAACAGAAATGGCTCGTGTTTGAGAGACCTTTGAGTAACAGCACTGTGTGAGCTGAGATGTGGCCACAAGGGTATCCCCGCTTGGCCAGTCCCATACTGCCTGTCAGGCTGAGGCTTCGTCTGGGACTGCGTGCTGTGGAGACCTGTTCTATCAAGGAAGCTGCTGTTGTATGTTGCAATGTGACTCTCATGTTGTTTGGGTACTCATGCAGCCTGTGGCCCAGCATTGAATTGCCTGTCCCTCGCCACTCCTGTGCTGTGTTATGTCTCCAGTCCTTCCATATTTGCTTTCAGGCGCTAAGAAACCAATATCTGGTATAGCCAGGACTCTTGTCTGGAAGTCTCAAACAGAAAGCCCTCCTACAGGCATCCTGTGCACAGGATAAAGTGATACGTGTTCTGTGTAAAAATCTCTTGAAATGTTGCCAACATTTTCAGCTAAGCTTTCTGAAGCAAGTCTGGTGTTTCTTATACTGAGGAGACAACTGGACAGGACAGGGCTAGCCTACCCTTCATTTCTCTGCTGCACCCAGACAGCAGAGGCATGTGACATGCTGGGGATTCTCTAGACCATCTGGCTCCTTCAGCTCTGTCCACTCTGCCCCGGAAGTTTGCTTGTAGGAAGAGATTCATTTCCGTCATGCACACACATGCTCTTCCTGCCTGAGAAATATTCAGAGTCATGGGTGCTTCCCTCCTGCTGTCAGGGTAGCCGTCAGAACCCTCTTCTCTGGAGCCATAGGCAGTACATTTTAAGGAATGCTTTTGCATTTTCTGCTGCCAATAGAGTGGTGACCCTGCTATTTCTCACTCTAAATGCATGGTATTTTTTGTAAGTTGTTTTTTTTTGTTTGCTTTTTGTTCTGTTCTTAAGACAGTTTTACTATTTAGCCCTGATTGTCCTAGAACTCAGGAACTCAGAGACATCTGGCTGCCTCTCCTGCCCTATTGTTGGGATTAAAGGCATTCACTCCAGTGCCCAGCTTGAATACATTATGTTCTGTGGAAGCTGGAGAGTCAGGAGGGTCCCAGGCTGACCTGAAAAGAAAGACCATCCAGTCCTTTTCCTTAGCTAAGCTGGAGCTTCTTAGTAGCTGAAGAACATCTCTACATTGTGGAGAGCTGTGCAGCAGAGAGGTGCTCGCCTTCCTCACAGTCATGTGATCTTACTTTTCTCCGGAGGAACCCCTGTCACAAGTCTATGGTTGTTGGGTCAGGGAATGGCTGAGACACTCAAGAGTTTCTGCTGTGAGAACAGCTTTGTTCACTGTGGCTGAAAACTAGGGAATGGTGGGAATGGGAGGCCTACCCCTTCACAGTAGTTAGGCATGACTTTGCCTGTGTGACCCAGAGTCTTGTCTACAGGGGGAAACCTTGTGTTCTTGCCTTTGCTGTCTCTGGCCTGTGGTTGGTGGCGAGCAAGAGAGAGTGAGCACGTTAGTGCTCAGGGAAGGCAGATACTAGGCCATTGTTTAGGCCATGGAAGGAGAAGGCTTTCAAGGCCGTGCTGGCCACAGACAGGATGGGTGAACAAGAAAGTTGGGGCTCTCAGTCTCTCCTGTAACCTTAAAGGGCAGAGGTAGAAGGAGATATTATTAAGTCAGTGGGGCCCAGACCGGCAGGCAGAAAGAGGTGGCCCTTAGACAGGTCAGTCTTCTTCAGGCCCACCTCCTCTGACAGTATTGAGCTGATACAGTAGAGTAAGGCGGCAGCATCCTCCAAGGAGCAGGGCAATTCATTCACAATTGTCAACATTGATGTTTTCCGTCCTAGTGACATCACTTTTGTAGCAACAAAATTGATCAGCTTGGAGCCAGCAAGATAGCTCAGCAAGTAAAGACATCTGCTGCCAAGTCTGATAACCTGAGTTCAATTCCTGGACCCCACATGGTAAAAGGAGAGAGCTGATTCTTGCAGATTGTTTGCTAACCCAGCTCTTGCACACACAGTAGCATATAAATAATAAATAAATAAATGAACGGTAAACCAAAAAGAAAGTCTTTTTAAAAAATAGATGACTTCTTTTAGTTCCCCAGATGACTGTGAGGGCCTCTCCACATGCCTCCGGCCTGGCCAGTGTCTCCTCTTTTTCTCTGTCGCCTTCACCAGTGAAAGGATAATTAGAAGCATAGGGCTGGCTCCTGAAAGCGCCCACGAGCCTCCCAAAGGAGCCGTGTTAGACATCTGCAGGCGTTTGCCTGAGCAGGAAGGGACATGGCCTTCTAAAGCCTGCAGCAGCCCTCATCTTCCAGTGACACTGCAGTGACCCCCAGCCCTCTGTATTGTTGAAATTCCATCTGAAGTGGATGATGGGAAAATGTGAGCCCATGGGAGAACTTGGGTGTGGCCTTGTGTTGCTGGATTAAGAACTGGAATTGCCCATGGGGCAGAAATGTGAGGGGATAGAGGATGTTGGTTTATTATTGTGTCCCTGGGGGTGACTTACTGTCTCCTGTCCATGTGTCCCACGCAGTGGAACTTCGTTGCTTGAGTTTTCAGCATAAACATCTTCCCCGGGTTACTTTCTGCCATGTGCTTTCCTTACATGAGAAGATCTACAGAGCCATGGCCTTCCAAAGGTCCATTTGTGGCTTGTTCAGATGGCTCAGTAACAGGTACCTGATTCCCCAGGCTAGGACTTGAAGCTTGTTTATGATATGAGTAGACAGAGCAGTAGCCTCTGTGTTGATAATTGACAAGTGAGCTTCTTCCTGTCTCCTGTGCAGGCTGACCTGATTTTCTCCCTCACTGAGATTCCTGGGGAAGGGCAGGATCAGGAAGGCAGTGGAGGCTTCCTCTGTGTCCCTAAGGGGTCAAGGTGTATTTGAGAGCCTTTAGCTTCCTGCTTCCTAAGACTGGCTTAATTAGCTAGTGTTAGGCACGTGCCTTCTCAGCCATCATAACTGCGGCAGTCTATTGGTGGACAAGAGCTCTCTGCACATGTACAGGAGTGAGCACCCCTGGCAGGAAAGCGCAGCTGAGAAGAAGGGGAGCCCAAGGCTGGAGTGTTGGCCTGACCCCCACTCAGGATTGCTCATCCACTGTCCTCACCCAGGAACGCCAGTGAACAGGTGCAGGGCTTGCTGGGAATTGGCACTTAGACCACGCACATGTCCGCAGCAGCCATCCAGGGAAGGCTAGGCCACACGTGAGTTCCAAAATAGGTTAGTTTCGAATTCTGAAAGCTTTCCCAGAAATCTTAATGGGACTTCATTAAAAATCGATCGAGGTGAATTACACACTGCTCACCCACCCAGTGTTGTTACTAAAGTTTGCAAATGGAATTACAGTTCGAATAAATTAAAATCCTGTAAAGAAATTGTAACATGAAATTGTAGTATTTATAAAATTATGGTGAGATAATCATTGCTGCCTTCTTAACAGAGAAGGTCATTTAAGTTCTGTGTTTAAAATGGCACTCCTGGGGCTGGAGTAGGAGGCTGGGGCTGCTACTGGGGCATGGTCGAGCATTTTCCTTGAGTGTGCAAGGCCCTGGGTTCACTTCCCAGTGTCACAAAAACTAACAAGCAAAGAATAAAGGCATCTTTTCGTTAGATACTTCCCATGCGATATGACTCTGTTCTGTGGGCTGTTGGATGGACAGCCAGGATGCCCACTGCAGCTGTCAAGCAACAGTGGACGAGAAGAGTCTACTGCAAAGTTTAAATTTCAAATATCACAGATAATGTTGAATATGAAAGAGAAGAAAACCCAAATTAAATCTAAAAGCAAGGATAATGTTCTCTAGAAATGCAAATCCACAAGAAAGTTTACATTGTTCTGAATCCTTTTGTGTCTCATAAGCCTTTCTCCACTTACATGGGACCTTCATCTGCCTCCTCTTTCCCTGCAGGGCATGCTGCTGAAGCGAAGTGGCAAGTCACTAAACAAAGAGTGGAAAAAGAAGTACGTCACCCTGTGCGACAACGGTGTGCTGACCTACCACCCCAGTTTACATGTGAGTACGTGGGTTAGAGGTGGTAGCAAGGCAAAGCCAGCCCTCTGCCTTCATGTGAAGAGGACAGTGGGATTAGATCCCCTGAGAGGTAGATAAGGCAGCCAGGCCCTCAGACTCCTGTCCCCTTCAACTGTTAATCCCGGGCTCTCAGTTCTGAAGTGAATTACAGATTACTTATAAGTACACATTACTTATGAAGTAGCATCCGAAAAGACAATGGCAAAGGGGTTGAACCAAGAGAGCGGATGTGAAAACCTGAACTACAACAGCTGAATTTGAACCCAGGCTCGGCCCCGAGCACCTGAGAACAGAGCCAGGCCTCAATGTCATTCACCACGGTTTTCATGCACATGTACAGCACAGCTGCCGGATTGGCAGGCGGGACACTGTTCTCCTTAGCATGACTTCTGTAAGGTTCCAGAAGCAGACTCAGTTTTACTCTGGCAGGCATCCAGGCAGTATGTCCACAAGTGAGCACTTTTAAGGTGGGCCTGTTTGTTCCAGTTCCATGAACTGCACAGGTTGAAAACTAGTCATTGGGTTTTGCCACTCGATCAAGCAAAATTGAAATCCTTAAAAAATTGCAGCGGTTAACAAGAAAGTTTAAAGTAAGCATTCTGAGTGGAAATTGACTGTGTTCCCTGATTGTGTGTGCTGAGAATGCAGACCTATTGTCTCTGCACATCAGGAACACATCTTGCAGCCATCTCCAGTGATAAGTTACATTTTCCCATGAGAGCAGATGTGAGGCACCATTTTGATGTTTATATAGTGTTCATGTATACTACTGCATGGGTGATAGTCTGGGTGGTTCAACAGTATCTCAAAACACAACGAAACATTTGGCAGTGAATGGATGGATGGATGGATGGATGGATGGATGGATGAATGAATTTGACCTCCCTCATTATTATACAAGTAAGTCTGAATGAGCTTTCTCCTGATATCCCTTTCATCCTTACCTGTTTCTTTAAGATAGATTCCCAGTAATCGGTTTGCAGAGCTTGAGGGTCTATATGATATTACTGACTTGAGGGTACATGTCAGATTCCTGGGACCTGTTTACCTTCCCAAAAAGCCTTTTGGGAGAGGCCTTTCCCCTGCACACTAAAGAACATCATCTTGAAGCCGTTCCAGTACAGCCACCCTGCTGTTTTCAGTACCACAGTAAGCAGAGCAGTGAAGGTGGTCAGCATGCGACTATGAAACAGACCCTGTCTTCGATGAGTTTGCCCAAGTGCAGGCTAATGCAAGCAAGTCCTGCATGGGACTCCGATGGGTTGGGCTAAGCTGGACATTGCATACGGTGTTTTCAGTGTGACTAGGAATATTGGTATATAGCCTCATCCTAAGGTTGTGTGTGTGTGCACGTGCGCTCACGTGTGTGTCTCTGTCTGTCTTCTGTCAGTGTCTGTGTGTCTTTGTGTCAGTGTGTTTGTGTATATATCTATGTATACAAGATACATATTATACATGCATTCCTAGGTTCTGGTATATTCTAAGGTGTAGTTGTAATCATGTGTGGATAGACATTCTTTGTTGGATGTGGAGCCTCTTTGTGTGGCTCTGTGTGGAGCCCATCTTGGGAATAGATTTGATTCTCCAGGTGGCCTTGATGGCAGGATGTCTGATCCTGGAGACCCACCTGTAACAGGGCCCATGCCTTTTCCAGAGCTGCTGTGCTGAGCACTGCGTGCTTCCACAACTCTTCTACCCTCAGGTTCCATCGCTGAGTGCACAGAGCTGAGCCTTTCCAGGCCCTCCCTACCCTGCAGCAGCCCAGTCTACAAGGAAGGCTGCCCTGTCTTAGGTCTTGTTCTTCTTCAGATCCTGTCAGACCAAAGACCTCTTGTTACCAGCTCTGGTGCTTCATGTGTGTCAGAGAGCAAAGCTGGGACTTGGTGAACAGTAGTGAGTAAAACTTGGCTGGTGGCTCACCTTCTCTCTGCCCGGACTATGCCATAGCACCTCTGTCCTCATGTAATATATGGAAGGAAACTACTCAGTTTCCTGTTTTCTGTTGGGGAGCCTAGTGGTTGTCTCCAGAAGAACACTGTTGCCCAGTGGTACCTTCACCATAGCCCATTCTGCTACCTCTCCTAGTTTCTCCCGAGGCTTAGATGGTGCAGGCCCTGGCCCTTCTTGCTTTGTGTGTGGAGAGGAGATGGTAGAGGTATGAGAAGCATGTGATGGAAGACTTCGGCTCTGTGCTCCCCCTAAAAAGCAGTGGTTCCCAGACTGTTGGCTACCATAGTCATAGGACCCCATGGGACTCCAGATGGTGAAACCAGAGGCCATCTTGGGAAAGTGTCCCAGTACAACGTGTTCTGCATCAGGTCAGTGCTGGGCATGAGCTGCGTGACCTGTCTAGAAGTTGGAAGATAACACATTGGTGTTTAGACCCTACACTAGCCATAATTGTACAATGTGTCATTGAATGTGGCTGGCAGCTGTCTTTTCTGGAACACAGAGAATCATTCACTAGGTAGGAAGTTTGGAGATACTGCCCTCAGGATGGCTTCCAACCCTCTGGAGTGTGGGGCCCAGAAATTTCCACCAAACTGAGCAAAGTGAAAAGCTAATGTAGCCGGATCCCCGAGGAAAAGGCCATCCTGAGACTGAAGCTGCTGAGGGGGTCACTTAGTTACATGCTGGGGTCCCCCAAAACCCACTCAGCTTCTTCGTCTTTCTCTCTCAGCTAATGCTGAGTGAATGAACCTGAGAACCCAGAATAGGTAACAGGAAGCACACCCAACCTAGGTAAGAATGAATGCTTTCACAGGCAACATGCTGTCCTGGCTTTCTCAAGACTAAGAGAGTCCTGGGCAAAGGGATGAAAATGATAAGGGATGCCGGCTGTCTGCTGCCCTGGACAAGGGCTGACAAGCCAAGTCTGCTGCTTACCTCTACTGGACCCTATGTGCTGACAGCTTCAGGCTTTTAAACCCAACTGAAGCAACCAAGAGCGAGCCTAGTGGCTCTGTGAAACCTGCTGGGCCTTGAACTGTTGGCTCAATGGCTTACTCTTTTGTCATTTCTCTTTCTAAAGTGATGATGATGGTGATTGATGATGGTGTTGATGGTGATGATGGTGATGGTGGTGGTGGTGGTGGTGATGGTGGTGATGGTGACCATCTCTATCTTTGCTGGGCATGGTTCAGCTTTAAGAGCATTGGCTGTTATTCCAGAAGATCTTAGCTCAAAGCTATCTCTAATTCAAGTTTTAGAGGATTCAGCACCTTCTTCTGGCATCCTTGGGTATGTGGTACACAGACACACATGCAGGCAAAACATTTATAAACATGAAACAAAATAATAATTAAGGAAAAAAAGTCTTAGATCACTTATCTCCAAGAGCTCTAAGGCTCAAGCATGTATCTGTCCTGAGAAGGAGATATATGAAGGTCTCCCGGATTTAAAGCTCATTCCTGGATCCTGATGGGGCGGGTGCAGAGCAATGTGTTGTGAGATCCTTAGGTTCCCTCTCTGTGGACTTCACTACAAGAGCCGTAGGGAGCACCGTGATGGAAAGTGGAGGGATAATGAGAAAGAACCTTTGCCCTGGGGCTCTGCGTCGCAGCATGGCCACCTATTCATCTTCTGTGTCTGTCTGGGAACTGCCTCATGCTTGGCTGGCAATACTCGTCTTGGAGTCCGCTCTGTGTGGTAGACTTCCTAAGTGGGGCTGTAAGAATGAGCCTGTAAACCAAGGGCGTGACATTATGGAACCCCGTGTGAGAAAGCATACCTCGGTCAGGCCAGCTCTGCCGTCCTTGAAGGGGCCTGGCAGTTGTGCCCAGCCCTCCCTATGCATCAGGCCAGCCTAGTCTGTATGGATTGCTTTCCCTCCTACAGATTTGCTTTTCCTCCTTACTGATACCCTCTTGAAACCAGATCAGCCCTGGTTTTTCTTCCCTGATACACAAAATTGGACCTAGGCTCTAGAAGGGATACCTTTTACTCAATAGATCGATTGGAGATTAGGCCGAGGCCATGCTTATAGCAAGAGGTGGTCGCATGTACTGTGAGCCTTCAGTTTGGTGCTTTTCTGAGTCAATAGTCAGCTACAGTAGAAATTGTCATCAAATTCAGGTTTTAATAGCTCCAGATTTCACAGGCAGACAGGAAGCCACTTGACTGACACATCAGAAAGGGATCTGAGATGATTCCTAAGTAGGTCTTCTTCCCAGGGAAAGAGCCTGACTGAGTAAGCAGCTCCACTCACAGCACCCCTGCAGGGAGAACACACTGGCCGTTCATCACAAGGAGACTTGAGGTTAGAGGAGGCAGAACCTCTGATCATGCCTCCTTACTGCATCCCACACCTGCCAGCATGAACCTCCCACTTCCTGTAGAGAACACGCAGTTACACTCAAGGCCCTTGGATAGCTGTTCCAGCACCATGCAGAAAACAGAACAGCTTCCGCCTCGGCAAGATCCCAAGTTCAAAAGACCTTATTCTTGTTCCCACATGGAAAGCCATTTGACAGTAAACGGCTAGCCTTCTGTATCTCAGACATGAGCGTGGTCAGTGAGTCATGTTGGTGACACTAGCCTCAGTTTGTGTCTTTTGTGGTATGAATAGTGGATTGTTTTGGCATTTGTTGTTGTTTGCTTTGGATTTTTTCCCCCTCATCTTGCTTCTTCATGAGTAAGTACAATGGCTCTGCACTCTTCACCACCATCTCCCTAGAAAGTGGTTTACACAAGCATTGCTCATTGCCTAGGGACTGTGTTGCCCTGAGTGTGGTCACACTGGATGTCAGGGCTATATAGCTTTGTAGGGTCCTTGATCCAAGATGGCGTGGGTTCCAGACCTCACCATGTGGATCGTTGACCACAACATGTGCACACAGGGTAAGCCATAATAGAGTCACTTAGTGGGGTGGGATTCATACACACACACACACACACACACACATGCACACACACGTGTTGCCATCCAAAAATACTAGTACAGTTAGATTAGGATGTTACAGCCATAACGTGGAAGATAAAAG